TTTGTTTCTGAAGGGAATGTGCCCCCGATCTACCTAAATGTGTCTATCTTCGCGCAAATCATTCGTGATCCAGCTTCACCTCCAGAAGAAGTGAGTGTAAGGTTTTTAATGAATCTTTGCAAATCGCCTTTCCTAATAATGTGCTAATTAGCAAGTTTCACAATGAATGCGGCTAAAGTTTACCGTCTCAGAGAGCGGCTCGAAAGAGAGGGGTGGGGTGAGCAGAGCTCATTTGCATTTAAAGTGACATGCAATAAAACAGTTTGCTGTAGACAGGGTAAAAACGGTGTTGTTTTACACTACCATTGAGAAATTTTAACCAAGCTATGTTACAGACTTTTCATTAAGACCCTAAAGAATCATATCAACTTGTGGAAAATGGGCATCCGATGACCCCTTTAAGCTTCAGAAAGGGTGAACAAGCACCATAAAAGCATCGTTAAAGGGGTTCATATGACCTGTGCATAGAGCTGGGTGATATGGCCAAAACAATTATCACGATAATTTTTTTTTTCATATCAGTCGATATCGATAATTATAACAATAAATGTCAAATCTTTATTTCTTTCAAGTTTAAAGCCAGATTTAAACAGATTTAAGCCAGATTTTTGCTCCAAAGTGAAAGTTGTAGAAACCAGACTATTAATTTTCCTTAACAAAATAAATATCTTAGTAGAAACATTTATTTCTTAGTTTCTGCATGTTCTGAATGTGATATTGTTTCAAATCAAGAAATAGGTTTGTGTTGCTTGATAATATTAATAATAATATTAGTTTTTAATAAATTTTTTGTCTCTTAGAATTACACATTTGATAATAGTATAGTAGCTTGAGTTAGGATGCAGATGTAAATTTTTGTTCATAATCAAAATCAGTAACATCTGTAAAAATTGTAGCAACCTCATTTTTACATTAGTAAAAATTTCAAACTCAAGTTTTTTTTTTAATTAATCATTGGTCTTCCATAGTAGCATACATTTAGATGATTGCTACAGGAAAGTTGTGGCCTAATGGTTAGAGAGTCGGACTCATAACCCAAAGGTTGTGTGTTCGAGTCTCGTACCGGCAGGGATTGTAGGTGGGGGGAGTGAATGTACAGCGCTCTCTCCCACCTTCAATACCATGACTGAGGTGCCCTTGAGCAAGGCACCGAACCCCCAACTGCTCCCCGGGTGCTGCAGCCCACTGCTCCGGGTGTGTGTTCACGGTGTGTGTGTGTTCACTGCTGTGTGTGTGCACTTTGGATGGGATAAATGCAGAGCACTAATTCCGAGTCGCCATACTTGGCCACATGTCACGTCATTCACTCACTAGATCATGATAAACACAGTTAAAGCCACGGCCCCACTTTATATTAAGTGGCCTTAACTACTATGTACTTACATCAGGGTAAGGTTAGGGACAGGTTTGGTGGTATGGGCAGGTTTAAGGGTGGGTTAAGGTGTAAGGGATGGGTCAACTGTGTAAATAAACATGTCTCTCAGAGAGCGGCTCGAAAGTTTATTGAGGTAAATAAACATGTATGTACACAATAAGTGCATTGTACCAAATTATTCATTTAAATGTAAGTACATAGTTGTTAAGGCCACTTAATATAAAGTGGGTCCAAAACCACACATATAGCACATCTCAATACCATAGTAATATATAACTATATGATTTTTAGGTATTTGTATGAAAAACAGTAGTCTAAAAACATTTAGTATCAGGCTAAATGCACACATGCTATAGCTTAATCACAAAAATACTGCAATTATATTCCGTTACTCCTTTAATACATTTAATACATGTCTACATTAATAATATAATAAAATTCGATACAAATACCCACATTTCTGACACAATACCATAGTGCAGTTAGTGTTACTGTAAATGCATGGTAAATGATGGCGATTTATAGATTGAAAAGTCTTTTGACTGTATCGTTGCACACAGTGTTTTTCCTGTTTGTCATCGCTGTTTCATCTGCCTTTAAACTAGTTTAAATCAGCGAGTCATTTGTGTTGTTCGCTAAACTCAAGCGCTTCACACTGGATCTCACAGCGCTGTTTAGTGCTCGCGTGACCAAGACTCGTCAGCGAGTAAATGCATCTGCTGGTAAACTCATGCTGTGCTGCTGTTTTGAACCTTGAGCGGTCCGTGTGCCGCGATTCAAATGAGTCGCACTCTTTTGTTCCGCTTTTGGCTCATGAACACTATATCAAACATCTATCGAACTCTTCATATTGTTTTATCGAGGAAAATTATATCGTGATAATTACCGTTATCGATTTATCGCCCAGCCCTACCTGTGCACTATATTCTAAGTACAGTATTCTGAATCCCTACAATAGTTCTATGTGAGGAAGCGACACAAATTTCAGTGATTATCCACCAATACTTCTCCCTTCTATTGAGCTGTTCACTGTTGCAACCAGATCATTAACCATTAGGTTAACCTTGAGAATCAAAGTAAATGAACCACACTTTGCTTCTTTTCTTGTGAGTTAATCTTTTCGGTGAATAAAGACTTTTTATTCGGCCTGTTCTTCACACAAAGCTTTCATACGACTTCAGAACACAACATACAGTAAGTCATGTGGACTGCTTTCATAAGACTTTTACAGTGTTTTTGCATCCTTTAGGAAGGATGCAATTCTGAAACCATAACACTTCATTCATTTTCTAAACAAAAATTAAAAAAAATGTAAATAACACTTTACTTTAGGGACCAATTTTCACTATTAAGTAGTTGCTTATTAGCACATATATTACTATTATATTGGATGTTTATTAGTACTTATAAAGCACATATTAATGCCTAATTATGAGAAGATTTAGATCCTTTAATCCTACCCATACGTAAACTTAACAACTACTTTACTAACTATTGATAAGCAGCCAATTAGAAGTTTATTGAGGCAAAAGTCGTAGCTAATAGTTAATTAATAGTGAGAACTGGTCCCCAAACTAAACATATGACCGTTTTTTGTCTGTTTACATGAATGAAAGTCTAAATTAAATAAGACTAAATGAATATTTTTTTATTTTTGGCTAAACTATCTGTTTAATTTAGTGCCATTGTTCCTTTTAGATTATTTTTAGTTTTAGTTTAGTTTAGTTTTACTCCCCAATATTGCACACACATATCTCAGGTTACGGACACACTTGCCACATCAAAAGTGTACCACAACAGATAATTTAATTTAATAATTAATAATAATTTATGCATTTAGCAGACACTTTTATCCAAAGCGACTTACAGTGCACTCAGGCTATAAATTTTTTAGGTTGGTTCTGCAACTTAAATGGTCTAAAATAGCAGTTATAAATTTCCAAGCAACACACACCAGTTTTTTATTGAATTTATAAATCAACAGTTTTGAATGATTTGGGTGAGTCAATAATTCAATGATTCTTTCATAAAGACAGTCACTTGCTTTGTTCCTGAATGATTCAGCCTTATGAATGAAACAGTTGCATGAATGCCTCAATGACATGAATTGCCACCACTTACTGGTGATTTTAGTTTCTACTTATTGTTATTGTTGTAATTGACCAAATCCCACAAAGTATTGAGATATAATTTTTGGTAAATACTGTATTGTACACCCCTAATAGCCCCCTACTTTTATCAAGATGTTCTGAGTTGGTCAGGTGGCTTTATGTGTGTGCTGCATACACAAATAATGTTTTCTTCTTTCCAGGTGAGCCGCCCATGGGCTTCCGTGAGGTCCTGTTGAAGGAGGGTCCTGAGGGTTTTGCACGGGCAATTCGACAGCACCAGGGTCTTCTACTGATGGACACTACCTTCAGAGATGCCCACCAGTCCCTGCTGGCTACTCGTGTCAGGACACACGACCTCAAGAAGATTGCTCCATTCGTGAGCCACAACTTCAATAATCTCTTCAGCCTGGAGAACTGGGGAGGCACGTGACATATTCACAGAGTCTTCAGTCATTTCTTAAGACACATACATTCACGCAGAAGGAGCTAATTAATTAAACCATTTTTTTTAGATGTTTTGGCTTAATGGGGATCACTTGACGTCTTTGACATGACCTTAATATCTCTCTTGCTTTCTCTAGGAGCTACATTTGATGTAGCAATGCGTTTTCTGTGGGAATGTCCGTGGAAGAGACTTCAGGAGCTCCGAGCTCTGATTCCCAATGTCCCATTTCAGATGCTGCTACGTGGAGCCAATGCTGTGGGATACACAAACTACCCTGATAATGCAGTTTTCAAGTGAGATCACACAGACATTTCCATTGGCTAATGTTATTTTCTATCCTCTACGCCTAATCCTACCCTCGCAGAAACCTTTCTGCATATTTAAATGTTAAAGATATTGTTTAGTATGTTTATTAAGCTGTTTTCCTCGTGGGTGCTGTTGGCTTGTCCACACAATTTAGGTGATTACATTTGTAGGCACTAAATAAACACACACATACACAAAAGAAGGTAGTGCATGTATTGAGCCATAGAGAGTTAGAGCTGATACCGTAGCAGCGGTAAACACAGTTGTAGAGCTCTTCACATTCATTTTTTAATATTAGTTTAAATGTTAAGCTAATAATTAATGTCATGTACTGTACACACAGTATTTAGGATTGTCTCATAAGTTCATAATAGGCTAAGTTTGCTCACAAATGTAACAAATGCACCTGTAATCTCCCATGTTGTACTACTTTGGTAAAGATGCTCATATTCATTTGTGCAATATATTGGACATAGATGTATCATACCCCTAACAACTACATAGCACCACAGTAAAATTCTCTCAGAACTCATTATCAGCTGCATATCAACATGCTAAAAACTCTCAGCACATCTTAGCGACCACACTTTGTCATAGCAGTGAGTTTCTTAGAATTTCCACATTCTATAGTAAAAGCAACATCTGATGATAACTGTTGGAAAGTACATAATATTCTGGCAGGCATTAAAATGTCTGATGTCAATGGCTTGACTTGAATGTGCATTCACACAAATGTCTCTCTTTACTCTTATAAACCATAAATGTCAGTTTTGAAGGAGTTGGCTGTAGTGCAGAGCTGACAACCTTATTTCAATTTATCTTCAATTTCTCTTTCTCTAGATTCTGCGAGGTAGCCAAAGAGAACGGAATGGATATCTTTCGTGTTTTTGACTCCTTGAATTATATTCCCAACATGCTTTTGGGGATAGAAGCAGCAGGGGCGGCTGGAGGCGTGGTGGAGGCGGCTATTTCTTACACGGGAGACGTGTCTGACCCCATGAGACAGAAATACTCACTGGAGTACTATCTGAAGCTGGCCAACCCTGGGAATCAAACCCAAGACCATTTGCGCTGCTAACGCAATGCTCTACCACTGAGCCACAGGAACATTATGTTTGTGGAATTCATACTCTTGTTTATAACTACCCTAAACATTGGCAGCACTCCCCCCACTGTCTTCTCTCTCTTTTCTCTCTCTCTCTCTCTGTGGATGAACGAGAGTGTGATAATGCAGCTTTAATCCTTCCCTTTTCTCCTTCCCTCTGCCAAATGAAAGAGGGATCCGGCCACATTAGAAATCTCATTACAGGGGTTTAGGTGAGTGTGTGAGCCGCATACCACACTCCCTCTGTGTGTGTGAGAGAGATTCCTAAGGGATAGATATGTGTATGCCTATGTGTGCGCAATTAATTTAGCCAATTTTCTCCTGTTCTCATTGGCATACCTTTTTTCTTGTTTGTTGAACATGATGTGTAAAATAATTCCCAAAGGACCCTTGATGGATTGTATGTATATCCAAAAAAAAGTTTCCCCACTTTAGACGTGAGTTCTCAGTGGGACTGGCTGTAGTTTGCCGTGCATGTACAAAATCATCCCCCTGCACAATTGGACCAAATATGTGTCGTGAATGTAGGTGTTTGTATGGAAAAGGTCTATATGACTGTGTCTGTGTAAGTAGGTCACATCTGTGGTAGGTGTACCCCAAGCCTCATGAGATGCTCCTCTGCATTGTGTGTTGCATATGCGTTTCAGACACACAATGAGCGATAAATAGGCTTTGGCCTTCATCTTTCCTTTCATATGACCGCCAGCGTTCCATACAGAGAAATTCTCACAACAGCACATACATTTAAACTCATGTGGGTGTATTTATGCCTTGAAATATGCAAATCTATGCATCAATGTCTTACTTACTGCACTTCTATCATTGGTCTCCCTTGTCCTTTTTTAACTCATACTCCCTCTCTGATTGGACAGCATGATTTGATTTGATTTTCACTTGAATAAGCTAGCAACCCACCCAGTTTTTATGTGTTTGCCTCATTTGCATTAATGAAGAAAGTCGGTATGTCCGACTCCACCACCTGCTTGATGGGTTAATGGCCCCTCAAAATAGTAGGAATTTCCCATTGTCTGTTGGTTGGCAGGTTCTCGTAGCTTTGGCACTGACCCGTGAGCTCCAGGCAGAGAAACAATGCTTAGGTTTAGCAGAGAAATGTGGTCTGGTTTAAACTATTCAGCACATCACTTTCTTCCTGTTCTCCTCAGCAAACGTTTATGTGGTGTTCCTGTTCTTATTTCGAGTTTACTTTGATTGGCTGCCAAAACAAGACGTTGCATGACAGGGAATCAGTGAGAAGTGTCAGTGGCACTCATTTAATTGATCACCTGTTTCAAAGCTCACAATGAGAAGCAGTCAGATTACTGCAACGTCAGTCTATAGCTGTTTGTCAAAGACTGTCAGTAGTTAATAGTAGATAAATAGTAGATTCAGTCTCTAGGGGTGTGCGATATGTAACTGTGATGCTATTGTCATTTTAAATGTGTGAGCTGACAAGTAGCTATGTCACTCACTTTGCAAAAAAAATGCCTTAAGAATGCACACATTCACTGTATTATTTAACTTATTAGAGTGCAGTTAGAAAGCCACTTGAGCAAGAGTGCTGTTTTTCCCAAATATGGACATGATTGCAAATATAATAAAAATTTTATACCATTTTATTTTATTTCAGTAAACAATAAGTTTCCAGTAAGTTACAATAAGTTAATATTATTGTAGACACAATAAGCACATCTTAGCGACCACACTTTGTCATAGCAGTGAGTTTCTTAGAATTTCCACATTCTATAGTAAAAGCAACATCTGATGATAACTGTTGGAAAGTACATAATATTCTGGCAGGCATTAAAATGTCTGATGTCAATGGCTTGACTTGAATGTGCATTCACACAAATGTCTCTCTTTACTCTTATAAACCATAAATGTCAGTTTTGAAGGAGTTGGCTGTAGTGCAGAGCTGACAACCTTATTTCAATTTATCTTCAATTTCTCTTTCTCTAGATTCTGCGAGGTAGCCAAAGAGAACGGAATGGATATCTTTCGTGTTTTTGACTCCTTGAATTATATTCCCAACATGCTTTTGGGGATAGAAGCAGCAGGGGCGGCTGGAGGCGTGGTGGAGGCGGCTATTTCTTACACGGGAGACGTGTCTGACCCCATGAGACAGAAATACTCACTGGAGTACTATCTGAAGCTGGCCAATGAGCTAGTTAAGGCTGGAACACACATACTGGCTATTAAGGTAGATCACGTGTACAAGGAAAAAACACATACACAGAATTTGCCTGACAATCATATGTTTCACATTCACAGAGGCAGAGGTGAAGGATTTGCTAATATAACTGCTGTTTTTTGTGTCAGGACTCTTATAGCATGATATTTTCAGCTGTGTTTGGCAGTTACTCAAGGGTGTAATGACTGAAGACATTGACAGTAATACTCGTTCTCGCTCTGTTATTTCTGTTTCTTCTCTCTTTTTCTTTGTTGAGCCGCTGTAATGACAGTGATCGTCATAATGTGGTTTTCTTTTCTGTGGGGTGCACTTGAGTGGTTAAAAGCAGCTCTGCTCTTTTTTCTTCCTAGGACATGGCTGGCCTGCTGAAGCCCGAAGCCAGCCGTTTACTGATTGGAGCACTGCGTGACCGTTTCCCTGATGTCCCTATCCATGTTCACACTCACGATACTGCAGGTGCGGGAGTCGCGGCAATGTTAGCCTGTGCACAAGCAGGTGCAGATATAGTGGATGTAGCAGTGGACTCCATGGCAGGCATGACCTCTCAACCAAGCATGGGTGCCATCGTAGCCTGCACCAAAGGAACCAAACTTGATACTGGTGAGTGGACAAGAAACGTGTAAACGTATGGTCAAAAAAATTTCTCATTTTGAAGTGAAATTTTGATAGATGTTTCACAGGCAAAAAAGCTCAATTTTTAATAGTGTAGTGATGCATGAAGCTCTGTTCTCATAGAAGTCACTTTCAACATGGCACCTTTCTGTTGCAACTTGAACACAAGCAAAATCTGTGGGGGAACTTTTTTGCCCTAAAGCTAAACTCCCAATCGCATGGATTCCTGTTAAAATTTTTGCAAACTGACTGAGAAAATCCCCCTAATAGCAATAGATATGTAAAGCACTAAAAGTCACTAAAAGTGGCTTAAGATATTGTATATGACATATGTGTTATGATTTACGATTTATCTTGCATTTATTCCATCTGCACTATTGTTTAGTTCTTGGACTATGTAGACATGCTCTCTGACATCTTTATCCACTGCATTTCATCTGAAGCAGTTCAGCTTTAAAAAAAGAGTCAGAGCCATAGGCTAGTGGGCAGAGCTCTTGACATATCAGCGCTTCGGGGGACCCAAGTTTGACTCGAGTACTTTTTCGTTCCTGTTCTAGTCTCTCCGCTCCTATCACCTGTCTCTCCTTTTGTCAAATAAAGTAAAAATTTAAAATTTAAATTTAAATTTTTAAACTTAAAAATAAAAAAAATTTATTTATATAAAATACCTTTCAATAGTTTGGGGTCAGCGAGATTTTTGAGTGTTGTGATAAAAATACAGTGAAAACAGTAACATTGTGTAATTATTGCAATCGAGAAAAAACTGTTTTCTATTTTTAATGCATTTTAAAATGTAATTTATTTTTATCATGGCAAAGCTGAATTTTTAGCAGTTATTCCCTTAAGAAAATTAACTATGGTTTTACCACAAATAAAACCAAAAAACTATGGTTACTATAGTTGAACTGTGATAACCACAAATTACTTTTTACACATAAACACATTTTTCTAGTCTTCAGTGTCACATGACCCTTCAGAAATCATTCAGATATGTTGTGTTCTTGAACAACATGTGACTTTTGGTCCACACTTTTATGTTTACATAAAGTGTGTTTCTGGCCTAGGTCAGTACATGTGCAGTTTAATTCAACAAGTTGCCCATGATCAGTTTAATGTTGCCTAAGTTGCAGGCAGGCTCAATTGATTAATGATGTCTAATTAGTCAAGTCGCTAAGCTCATTAATCAAGGGACCCAGTAGGGGTTGTCGTCATATATCAATACATTTGTACTTTTATACAGTTGTGTGCATGTGTGCTGTACTGTCCGTGCGAGTGTGATAATTGCCGTATTCTGAGAGGAATGTTAAACAAAAGGCCTACTGTAGCAAACGGGAATGTGTTGACACACCTTGGACAAAGACTAATGACAGAGAAGAAAAGAGAGGTAGAGAATCTTCCCATTCCTCTCCCCCATTTTCTTTTTAACTGCACGTGCACATTTATTTCCCCTTCCTCCACTTCATTACCGTCAAGGTTAAATCATAGCTCCTCTTCCCAGCCTTTCCCTCCCTCTCTCCCCCTCTTCTGTCCCCCAAATATGGTTCCTCTGAGACAGGGGGGATAGATAATGCACTTCAGTTTCAAATTCTCCAGAGTATAATCTTATGTTCTTGAACAATCTCTCATGTAGCCACACCATACACAATAATCTGTCAATATCTCTCTTTAAACACTGAGATACCCCCCACCCCCCAAATGTTCATACAAACATAGCCACCACAATGCAAGTTCTGGGTGGTTGCCAGAACGTTGCTATGCGGTTGCTAGGGTGTTCTGGGTGCTTGCCAGGAGCATCGCTATGCAGTAGCTGGGGTTGTTGAGGTGGTTGCTAATAGACTTACATCAGAAAAGCACTAGATATGGCTGGAGTACATATTACATTGTAAGTTAATGGAATAGTGGTAACATTTTAGTTTGGGGACCTCTCACTATTCTATAATAGTGTATAATAGTGAGAATCTCACTATTAATTAGTTGCTTATTAGCAGTGTTGGAGGGTGACTAGTTACATGTAACAAGAGTTTTATAAAACGGATAGTTCCGGTCCTTGATTCTGATTGGTTGAGCCGTGTTCGAAGCTGTTGTAAATGACACTACAAACATACACCTTTGTATACTTCTGTGTGTTGCTTGGCAACCACTTTGTTGGAACCACAACTGTTTCTGAGGAACTACATTGTTTGGTGGAAGAATACCTTTTTTATTTACTGTATATCATTACACTTTATTTGCTGTATTTGTATTTGCACTTTTTATTCTGTGAAACCTTACTATGTATATGGAATAACCGTTTTATAAAAGCAATAAGCCCTGTGAAGCCGTGGTTTACAGTGAATTTATAACAGCTAAGGGGGTTTTAGGCACGCCGCGACAATGGCCCTTAGCTGTTATAAATTCACTGTAAACCACGGCTTCTTGGGGCTTATTGCTTTAACGTAATTTAAATGCAAAATAAATGTAACTGTAATCTGTTGCAGTTGCTGAGAAAAATATATGTAATTAAGTTGCAGTTACTTATGAAAATGTTAACAATTGCAAAGGGGGTTACATCTGAATATTTTCACACACATACAGATTTGTTTGATTTCTTTCCTAAATTGCATTGACTGCTTTAAAATATCAGACACCAATGTAAATAATGCAAGGCATTGTTAGAAGCCAGTGTTTCCTATCATAGTTGGGCAAAGATTTGATTTCAAAAACCGTATCATAACTATTAAACTATATCTTATGATTTTAAATCTGTATTTAACCTCAGAAAGAATCTCAAAGTAAAAAGAGGTGCTAAAGTCTGATTTTGTGGTGGCTGTGCTTTAAAATTAAATTATTATAATCCTAATTCAAGTAATGAAGAATTTTGAAAGTCTGACAGTAATCAGTGTTGAGTACTACTGTACTGTTAACCCTGCCTGCTTTAAATGTTTCAAGATGATTAACAGTTTAAAAAGTTAAACTGAAATTTAAAATTAGAAAAGTAATCAAATTACAAAATTTGTATTGTCAAATGTAATCAGTTACATTAATAAAGTAATTGGAATTACTCTACTTATTACATTTTAAATAAGGCAACTTGTAATCTGTAACCTATTATATTTCCAAAGTAACCTTCCCAACACTGCGTATTAGCATGAATGTTACTAGCACATTAGCTGTTTTAAGTACTTATAAAGCACTATTAATGCCTTATTCTGCAATACCAGATTTTAGATCCCGTAATCCTCCCTAACCCTAAACTTAATAACTACCTTACTATTAATAAGCAGCAAATTAGGAGTTTATTGAGGGAAAAGTCATTGCTAATCGTTAGTTAATAGTGAGAAGTGTGTGACTAGGTGAAAGCCGAACATTTTCTACTGTGTAAAGGCTACACAGTTTGCAGTATCATTCATGTCAGCAACACAGATTGTGCAGGTTTACATCCTGACCTTTAAAGGGGTCATATGACGTTGCTAAAAAGAACATTATGTTGTGTATTTGGTGTAATGCAATGTGTTTATGCGGTTTAAGGTTCAAAAAACACATTGTTTTCCACATGTACATTATTGTTGCTCCTCTATGCCCCGCCTTTCTGAAACGCGTCAATTTTTACAAAGCTCATCGTTCTGAAAAGCGAGGTGTACGCTGATTGGCCAGCAATTCAGTGCATTGTGATTGGCTGAATACCTCAAGCGTGTGACAGAAATGGTACGCCACTTACCATACTGTGATGCCGTGTCCCGGCACGATGAGACAACACCAATAAAACTCATTACAAACAAGGAATTTGTTGCACCCAGTGGGGACATAATTACTGATTATAATGACTTATACTGTCTTTTTACGCGTTGCGTTGCGTATCGCACCACGTAAACATAAAACCATGTCTGCATTTGTGATCCCGGGCTGGACTCCGCTTCGTCCACGGAGAAAGCCGATCTGGCGATCCACAGCGCGAAGTTGATGTATTTTCTCAGCGACCAGCACGGATCAGCTCTAGGCATGACGAAGCGAATATCGTCCTCTTTTGGAAGGCCAAACAAAGTAGTTTCGCTTTCACAACGAAACACACAGCATCTTCATGACGGCGGCGGTGGCAGCAACAATAAAGTTATGCCTTCTTTCTTTTCGTGAACATTTGGGCGGTGCTATGCAAATCTTCCCACACAGTGATGTAGACATGTGGGGGGGCGTGTTTAAACGAGGCGTTTTAGGAGGGTGTGGACGAGTCTTAACTTGTATAGAGAATATCTCTTTGGGTTTGAGACTTTAGTCTTTGCAACTTTAGGGATCTTATCTATGCACGAACAGCTTCTAACACTCCAAAGAGAAAGGAAAACTTGAAATTGCATCATATGACCCCTTTAAATCTTCGAGCTAAAGGGCCCAAACCTTAAAGGTCTGTTCACACCAACACAAATATTTGGCACAAAAATTTGTTCCAGTTTTCAGATGCAATTTGTCTGTTCTGATTGGTGCATAAAACAACGCTGATGGGCTGAATGAAAATGCAATTCCACTCTCTGACATAGATGGCACTTATACAAAAGAAAAAAATACCATGGTTACCACAGTTAAGGTGCGAGCACAGTACACTTTTCATTCCATTGAATTCCATTCATACGCATGTGAATGCTAGAGTCCGTAAATGCAAGATTGTGCAAAGAAGTTGTGCATTTACTGCGTTCTAAAGTTCCACTTTGATGCACTCTAACCTGCAAATTCATATCATGTGAAGACGTGTGGCTATGTCACGCTGTGCCCTCTTAGAACACACAAACTCTAAAGCTGCAGATCTGCAGTGTTGCAAGAAAATTGAGTAGATTGTGTGTGTATATATAAATATGACAAAATGACCAATATCCAGATTCTTCCTCTGCTATACATTTATACATTCATTTAGTTATATACAGTTGCTTTGCAAAGCAGTCTGTTCATGAATGCCACCAAACCATAGTTTAAAGCTTTGGCTCTGGGCATTTGACTGAAAGAGCAAATATCTATTAAAAAGA